TTTTTTTGAATTAAAAGCATCTTGTTATAATTTTGCTAGCTAGCTTAATACAACTTTCCGGTATAAACAATAGCTTTAATCAGTAAAGCAGACTATATTTGGATATTTATAGAGAAAGCTAGATGATATCAGATCTATAATTTAGATAGTTTAGAATATACTTGTATATTTGCTTTGATCTAATAAAAATACTAGCAAGGCTACCAATATATGAAAAAAAACTAATATATAGTATAATAATATTATAAGATAATTTATATATTATATATGTACTATTGTTATATCTACTACAGATCATAAAATTAGATGTAATATAAAATCAAAATTATTTTTTTTCATTAGTTAGGATTTAGAATAAGGTTAAGATTAGTAAATAGCCAAAAAAAAGTTTATAGTAAAATTTTACAAGAAATTTTTTTGGTTAAAATCTAAAAAATAATTTTATATGTGAAATTTTGAGATATATACAGTACAGAATACCAAAAACTATATATTTTTTATAGTAAACTTTTTAAATTGATATAACTTCTTAAAAAATAAACCAATGCAAAAAATTTTTTATACAATTAATAGATTTTTGGTTAAACTATAAATTTTAGAGAAATTCTATTTTAACCTGGATCAAATTGACTTGTCACATAATTATATGGCTAATGTAGCTTACTTTATACACAGAATCGGCTATTAACATTAGTCACGTGATCGCTATTTTTGTAATATATGTTATGTGACTGCCGTTTTGATATGAGCCAATCCCAATCATACTATCAGTTATATATGAATTTTGTTTATAATTTAAATTAAAGTCAACTCAAGTTTGGTTCAACTTAAACCTAATTTAGGATAAAATTAACCTGAATTTATTCAATTTAACTCGAATTTGGTTTAACTTAAATCTAAATTTAGGAAAATTAACCTGAGTTTGGTTCAAGTTAAATTTAACTTAAGCTAAATTTAGTTTAACTTGAACTCGAATTAGTCAAATTTAGATTTCTTTGAGTTAAAAAAAAGTTATTTAAAAACAACCAAAATAACTAAAAAACTTAAATCAGAAGCTAATCAATTCTTACTATAGTAAAATTATTATTTGTCACAATTGTAATTGAACTATATATTGGCACAAATCATGAATTTTTCATATAATACTAATATTTAGTCAGTTTTTTCACATGCTGAAACTAAATAAACAAGAGTAATATTTGAATAAAATCTTATAGACATGGAAATAATATTTGCAATTCATTCTTATCCAAATCAAAAGCTGAATTATAAGCAAAAAATCAGGTCTAAAATTTGAGAAATTAGCAGCTCTTAAAAATTTAATTAATATAATAACATATCAAATATGCAAATATGCAAAATATTGTAAGAAAAAAGTTAACTACTCTAGAAATTTACAAAAGTGGTATTATGGTTTGTTGAAATAAAGAATTGCCTAAAAAATTTTTTCTTCGGTTCTTTATATATCTATTATGATTGATACTTTTTTCTGGTTGCTCATTGATTCATAAGATTAATTTATTCTTTGAACATCTTCTTATTATAATCAGATGTGTGTACAAGAAAACAATTATCATTAAGTGATCATTAAAACTAATTGTTGTAAAAAAAAATTGTGGCAGTGTAATAAGACCAATCAGGTTTAAGTTTTCTTTATAGTATTCTACTGTTGATACAACCTGTATTCAACATCTGTTTAAATGATTAGTACAATTTAGAATCTACTGTAATGCTTGTATGTGAAAACTTGTAATGACCATGATCACGCTAACCAATAATATATAAGATTTTGCATCTATACATCATTTTATACTTCACTAAGCCATATATTTCATTTCATTCTGTTTCTGGTAATCATATTGTTTCTGTACAAATTTAAGTATATACCCTTTGTAATTAATCTTAAATATTTTAATCAATGTGTCAAAAATATATCAGTAATTAAAACTTTATTAATCAACAGTTAATATTCAAAAAATTTTATACTTTTTGTCTTAAATTTTCATTACTGCCATTTGTATTTGTAAAATTTGATAATATTTTATAAACAAGATTCAACTTCTCAGTATTGATCATATATTAAATAAAATGCAAACTGATTTACAATGTTTGAGTACATATATAAGCCTTTTAAATCATATATTTGAAGTATATGTAGTTTTAACTAAGTTTAAACAAAAATTTATTAAAGTACTAATACTAATAATAGCAATACATAAGCCTTATAAATTTACTAACAAACGGTATTAGCCAAATATAATTTTTGTATAATATTTCTAAAATACAAAAATTTATAATATATAATCTTAATACTTCTTTTTTAAAAGCTATTTAAATACAAACATGTTATTAATAAAGATAGTTATCATATATTGACAAATATGAATATATGTGTTTCGAGAACTTATCCTTATTACTAAATATGATAAATTAAGTATCAATACATAAGATAATCTATATCGATATACCTAAATATAGTAAAATTATATACCTTTCTTGGGCAGTTTCGAGAGTTATATCCAACTTCACTGCAAATACTACAAATATATGATTTTTTAGTAATATGCTCAGTGTCTATCTTTTTTGTATTTAGTACCACTTGGCTTTACTTTTGTCTTTGCGATAATAGGATCATCAATTTTTTCTTGTAATAATAGATATTTTCGATTTAATTGTTTTACAAAAAGAGTAAGGATATTATTTATTTCAATGTGATCTACTTGATTAGATATAGTTTCAATATCCTTAAGTAAATCCACAGTACTTTTTATAGGCTTTTGTTGATTAGAGGATGCATTGTAAATCATGTTATTGAATTTAACAGTAGATTTAATAGTAGATTTAGTAGTAGATTTGGTAATAGATTTAGTAGTAGATTTAGTAATAGATTCAGTAGTAAATTTGCTAATATATTCAGTAGTAGATTCGCTAAGATTATCAACAAAATTATTTTGTTCTTCATATACAATAAATCCTGCTGATATGATAATCTAACGAGCATCTATATAATCAATACTTAAGGTTTTCTTATTAACAAAGTGAATAGCAAAAATATGATGACATGACAAGGAGAATTGAATCTTATAGTTACAAGAACAAATATATATAGTATCTGTTTTATATATATTGTATATTTATTACTGTTATTATGATAAACCTGGATCAAGCTATCATTATATTTCTTAATATTATAAGCATTAGCCATACTGTGTTGCTCTAATAATAATACATACACAAAATTTAATATGACCACTAAAACTTCCTTTAGTAATTCAGGATACTGTTGCCAAGTGCTACTACGTAAATAATACTAGAATACTGGAGTTGGTGTTGAGTTAATTTTTTTAATACATTAATTAATTAAGGTAGAGGTACTGTATGACTGAGTAATTTTTTAGATACACGTTAGTGGCTTTGGATCATTGTGTTGTTCTTATTTCATAGTTGATATTATTATTGGTATAACAATATGCCCACATATTATCATAAGGTTTTCATTGCTCTATTATATAATTACTCACCTTAGGATATTTAAATAATAAATGATACTATCGAAAAATAAATTGCTCCTCTATAGTTTCAAATATCACTGCTTTGAAATCTTTGTTAAATGCTGTAAACTTATCTTTAAGCTTTTTAACTAAATTCTTAAT